AATAAAATATATCATACTTTAACTATCCCAAGGAATACAATAAAGTAAATATTTGATTATTACTTTTTCAAATACCTACCTTTATTTTATTGTATGATCCTATTTTTAATAAGAAGAGGGTACTACTCTGTATAGTTTTATTTTTCTAAAGATATTACAAGCTTTTACTAAACATTTGTAGGTATGTGGGTGGGTTGGTATGTAGTAGGTATGTGGGTTAAGTTTACATATTGCAAGTAAGATTTGAACCACTTCCCGATGTCTGAGTTGAAATTTTGTATACCGTAACTTCAGTGACAACTCAATAATATGATAGGTATTGTTTTAATTTGTCTTCACCTATTGTGACAACCCTACCAAAATAGGTAACAATTTTGCACGTTCTTAGGAAGCTTTGCCTCTGTTCCGTTTATTTACTAGTGTGTTGCCGTCCCATCGGACTTTGAGAGTGAGAGAATAGACAGTGCACGTGTGCTTGCGCATACTCTCGGGGACTGTAAACCTTTCCTGCATTTATGGCTAGTCTTCGTTGAGACTGGCCGCCCTGACTGAAATTCGATCTGAAGGACCTTTTAATGATAAAACGTACAATGTATTATTTTTGACTGAAGGACTTAGAGCCAATGCCACAATTAATGAGATAGTTTAAAATTTAAAATTTTGTACAACCGACTTCAATATAAATTATTAAGAATAACTCAAAAACTACTGGTCATACCTTGTACAAATTTATATGGAAACACATGAGAAGCACCAGCTTTCAAATAAAAAAAGAATCATCGAAATCAGTTCACTCAGAAAAAAGTTATATTAAGTTATATTAAAAAAAAGTCTCCTTTTTGAAGCCGGTAAAAAAGGAGTCTTTTCTTGAAGGTCACTAAGTGATATCGGTCCAGTAATCACATATTTCACAGAGTGATTGTGTGAGGCAGAAGTCTTAAGAGATTCTTTACGTCAACAGGAACCATTTTCGTATTTAAAAGTCTACGAAATAAAAACCCACGAGGTGTAAAATGAGTGTTATAAGACAATTGGTAATCCCGATTTGTTCAACGCGATTTAAATTGAGCCGGCCTTGTCCAGTGCGGTTGATGTCACTCTGTCGGCCACATTAGTTTTAGTTAACGGTTTCTTATTTTTATTCTGGGTATTTTTTTAAATAAGGGTAACAAACGACCACACCGTCCACCTAATGATAAGTGTCTGTGGCCCATATCTACATCTATCCTCGATTACATAAACATAAATACTCACGCCTGTCACCCAGAGGGGTAGGCAGAGACTACGGACTTCCATTTGGCGCGATCCTGACACACCTCTCTCGCCTCCTTTACATCCATATATCTACGCATACACGCTCGTCGGTTAAGGGTACTCCTAATCTGGTCCATTTTTAATGTATCGACGATTTGGCCAATAAACCTTTGTCTAGGGCGTCCCTTCCCGACCCTGCCGTTCACTTCTGCAACATAAATTTCTATTTTTTTTATAGGATAGGGTGACAAACGAGCACACAGTTCACCTGATGGTAAGTGGTTACTGTGACCCATAGACATCTACATCTTTCCTCAATAAAGACTCAAGACGCAGATGCGTTGTCACCCGTGAGGACTAAGATGGAATGCCTCTTTGTCACTAAAAAGGGTCTCCGGTTCTCTACGCTCACCATACGAAACAGAGCAGCGTTAAGCTGCTATTTTACGATGGTTTTCTGTGAGAGCGTGGTCCTTCCCCGGTCGAGCGGACCCATTCGTGCTACAACTATACTACTAATATAGCTGCAGCATGGCTCTACCACATGAAATTCTATCCTCGATTAAGAATCAAAATGCAGATGCGTTGTCCCGCCAAGAACTTACATGGATTTCCGCGTTTTACAGTGAAAAAGGTCTCCGGTTCTCTACAATCGCCATACGAAACATAGCGGCATCAAGCTATAGTATCGTTTTAAATTTAATTTTTTTTTTTTGACTTTGGCTACTAACGAATTTAAGGTCGAAAAAAATATAACTCATTTCTATAACTTTTAAAAAGTGTCCTGTTCCGAAAACTTTCAACTTACTAGTACAAACGTATTAGCTGCAGCATGGCTCTACCACGTATAAAAATGTATATGAACAAGTCAAAACTCATAACCGGTCAGAACCACTTTTAACTGCAAAAATCAGGCAATAATGGTTTTGACCGATGCCCTTAGGCAAAAAGCGTTTTGACTGATTTTTGTAGTCAAAAGTGGTTTTAACCAACGTTCGTAGTCAAAAGTGATGTTGTCTGATTTAAACTTCAGACTATCGATCAAAACTGGCAATATCAGTAACAGTAGGTTAAGGTGCAGCTGGGGTGGCCCTTGGGCCACCCTAAAGCCTTTATACATTATAATGATATTAAATATATTATTGAAGAAATTGAACTTTTTAATTTCAGAAATTCAAAAAGTATAAGTCAAAAGAAGTTTTGACTAACATTGTTGGTCAAAACCACTTTTAACCGATGTAATTTGGTCAAAATCACTATTAGTATTTTTGCAGTTAAAAGTGGATTTGACCAACGGCCTCAGTCAAAACTACTTTTCACTGCAAAAATCAGTTAAAGGTGATATTGACAAACGTTTGTGGCGGCGCTGTCGTCGTGCCACAAGCGAAACACATCGAAACCTAAATCGCTAAATCGCTAACAAAGTTCCGAAATTAAAGCATTATATATAGAAGAGCTATGAACTACAACTCGGAGCGATGGCCGCTCCCCGGGCAGAACACCTCGCCCGGCGGGAGATCTACCCTTTTCCTTCCACCGGCCACAAGTTCTTAGTCAAAAATACTTTTGCCTGATTTTTTACATTCCAAAGTGGTTTTGACTGGTATGTGTTTGGACTGTAACATATTTATAACATGTAATTTGTAGGATATACTTAAATTGCGACTAGTTTTAACCGTTGACCTCTTCATCACCTTTCGAATAATTCTATAAATTCGCAGACGTCCTCTGGCGCTGGACATGTTGACAAATAATGTTTTTATGTTGTTTGTCTAGACTTTGCTCCCGGAGGGGTCGCTCCCTCTTGTGAGTGATGTCATCGAAACATTCCTCCTTATAAAATTATATCAGATAATTTATGATAGTTGTTTACTTGTCCAATGTGCATCATGTATGTAATATATATTCTAATGTATTATTTCTGTCTTGTAGTTCGAATGACGACCGCGTGACTTATTTATCACAAAAAAATTGTACACAAATGGTTGACTTAATGCCTTAGGCTTTAAGACATTCTCTCCCAGTCAACCCCCCGAACGGGTTCCCGCCTTGTCGTGGCGGGGGGCTTAGTAGCCATGGCTTGGTCACCCACGGTGAATAAAGAGGAACCCCTTGGCTGGCCCGTGGTGTAGGGCCGGCCCGAGATGGCCACTCCGAGTGGGCTTGGCGAGCCCACTTCGGGTGTGTGTCGGTGGGCTGCGGTGAGAGGGGTGTCCGCTCCCTCTACCGCTGCAGCCGAGGTGGAGTCGCGGAGGAAGAGGAGTGCTGGTATGGCGATGAGTCACTCGCCCTATCCTCCGCGACTCAGACGGGGCCGCACCGTTGAGTGATGCGGTGGTGGTGGGGCTGCGGGGGGAGAGGAGTGTCGGTGTTGCGAGGCGCCGCTCTCCCTACCCTCCGCAGCCGAATCTTGGTTGGCGGCGGAGCCATAGACCGGATCCGCCGCTGGGATCGGGAAGGCTGGTGCTTCTGAGTGCTAGTTTTTATTGGCCCCATGGCCTTCGCGCATCGGAGCGTCCGTTGCGCATGTTAGGTTGGAGGCCGAGGAGGAGGGCACGCCATGTGTTCTGGTGCGCCTTACCTGAGAAGGAGATGGGGGAGGAGTAGTCCTCTCCTGAGGAGAGGCCGCCATGGGGCGGCCAGCGCAGGTGCGAAAGCGTTCCCGTGGCCCTGCCAATATGCGACGAGGGTGGAACACCATGGGGTTTTAGTCGGTGCGAGTCCGACATAACCCGTCCTTGCCCCCGCGAGGCGGGTATGCGGAGGCATTTCCCCGTGTAAAAAAAAGGCAGAGATAAACGTAAGGGAGGAAGTGCAGCAAAAATAACTAAAAATTACAAAAAAATGAGAAATAGGTATAGATAAATCAGAAAATATGTATTGTACGTAGAAAAAAAAAGTAAAATAAGTAAGTAAGTATATATATATATATATATATATATATATATATATATATATATATATATATATAATATACGTACATCCAAATGTACATATAACATAAATATATTATTGGATGGATGGAACAAGCATAAATTAGTTATACAAGTTACTCGACTCCAAAGTGTAAGTAATTACTTCATAGGCCATTGTATACCCTTTTACAACAAAGTCCCAGAAAATTACATTTTGAATTATCTAAAAGAAGAATTAAAAATATATATTAAGCAAAAATTATTTAGTAAGGATTATTAAACTACTAAAGAGTATATGACTGATAATAACGAACAGAAATGAGGTGATCGCTACCATGCTGTTTCTAAATGTTTTCTAAACGATTGTATAAAATATTATATTGTAAATTATGCTTTAAAAAAAAGAAGTCCCGCTGGGTTTCTTGCTGGTTTTTCCTAGGACAGAGGTTTGCTTCGAACCAATGGTAAAAGTAAAAAAAAAAATACTTTCAATAAGAGTTACATGTAATCCATATTGAATAAAAATGATTCTGTTATATTATACTCTATATGTGGCTTACGTCCGTTTTCTTCTTCTTAAAAGTCCAATGGGCCTTTTCCATTGAAGGGAGACAGCTTGGCAGGCAGATTGATGATAAAGTACCAGACGCACCTTTGATGCTGCTGCCGACCACCGGTCTGGGTATAGAATAGAATAACGTTGACAAACGAGCACACAGACCACCTGATGGTAAGTGGATACTGTGGCCCATAGACATCTAGGATCCCTTAAAGTTTTTATTCACAATTGGACTCACTGACTGGAAAAACTAATCCCTTTTTCTCAAGCAGAAAGAAAAGCGAACGTATTTCGGGAGCTAAAAACGCCCAACTCCATTGCGTCAGTAGCAACAGCCCGCGCCAGCCGACCACTCCCCAGCTTCTCCGGGTAAATTTATTTTTTTATTTACGGTTTATTCAATCTCGCGTCAGTCATTATATCAATATGTTCAGTGTTTTTATTGAGATCAAGCTTAATATACGATGTTGTTCTCATAAGATAAAAGCTTCGATCAATCCAATAAGGATAACAAACGGGCACACAGTTCACCTGTAGTAAGTGGATACTGTAGCCCATATACATCTACGTCTATCCTCGGTTAAGAATCAAAACCCATCATCACCCCTGAGGACTAAAATGCAATGCCTCTATTCGAATAAAAAGGATCTCCTGTTCTGTATACTCACCATATGAAACATGTCAGATTAAGCTGCTATTTTACGCTGGTATTCTGTGAGAGCGTGGTCCGGTCCGGGTCGAGCTGACCCATTCGCATCTCACGTTACATACATACTAATAAGTAAATAAATAAATTCGTGCTTAAACCATAATATAGCTGGAGCATAGCTCTGCCACTTATAAAAAAAAATGCTGTCAGATATGGGCCTATTCTGTTATGTATATGCGGCAGCTAACTATGGATGTAATTAAAATGGGTCGGTTCGACCGGGGAAGAATCCCGCTCTCACAGAATAGCAGCTTAACCCTTTCGTTGCCCTGTGCACTACATATAGGTCATTGCTATTGTCTTACTATTTTGTCCGAAAACGGGACAGTGAAAGTGTTAATACTACTGTTTCTGCCATCTCATAAGATGGCAGAAACAGTAGTATTAACACTTTCACTGTCCATGAAGGGGTCTCCGATTCCCTACACGTACCATAGTACGTGTAGGGAATCGAAGACCCCTTCATTGGAAACAGTGCATTCTATCTTATATTTACATTCCATTTTATAGGAGGAACATTTGCCTTAATTTTTGCGCTTGGCAGGTGAATTGAATGTATTTTACGCCTGTTGCCAACGAGATAATTATACCGCCATTTCTCGGAAGCCATTAGATTTTTCTGGCATGGCTCTTAGTCGCCTCTTACGACTTTTTTTTTTAATAGGATGGGGTGACAAACGAGCCCACAGTCCACCTGATGGTAAGTGGTTGCTGTGGCCCATGGACATCTACATTTATCCTCGTTTGCGAATCAAAATGCAGATGCGTTGTCACCCGTGAGGACTAAGATCGAATGCCTCTTTTCCAGTAAAAAGGTTCTCCGGTTCTCTACACTCACCATACGAAACACAGCAGTGTCAAGCTGCTATTTTACGTTAGTATTCTGTGAGAGCGTGGTCCTTCCCCGGTTGAGCCGACCTATTCGTGATACAACTATACTACTAATATAGCTGCAGCATGGCTCTAGCACGTATACGTCCACGTGACGAAATGACATGATATACTAATATATTTTATTTATACATATTTACGCTGCGTGAAGTAGCGTTACTTTTACCGTTACAGACTATTAAAGTCCACTGCCAAACATAGGCCTTTCCCGTATGGGGGATATTTGTCGCAGTTGCCACGCTCGGCAAACATGTTTGCAACCGCAGTTCTTGATTTTAGTCGTTATTAGGAATGATTTGTTTCCCTCTGTCGCCTCTTACGGCACCCACTGCATGATATGAGGTAGTAATGTTATACCAATGTTCCCTTTAACCACTCCCGATAAGCTAAAATGCTTGTGTTAGGAGATATGAATTCTTATAAGCCAACACTTTTTCAATGTCATGTTTTTTGCAGATCTTAGAAGAGACGATACAAAAGAAATCGCCGAGGCAGGCGAAACCTCAACCGTTATCGAGTAAAGACGTGGAGAAGTTCCGCATGACCTTCAATATAACGGAGAAGACGGTGGAGAACCTGTTCCAGTACCGCACAAAGTTCGTCCAGCACATGCTGTCGAGCGCCATGTACGCTAACAGCGCCGTGGAGAAACCATGGGAGATGGTTAACAGGTAAATTATATGGGATGTAATGATATGAGATGTGCAGGAAGTCAATTGATAATTTTTTTACAGGATAAGAGTGACAAACGAGCGCACAGTCCACCTGATGGTAAGTGGTTACTGTGGCCAAAAGACATCTACATCCATCTTCGTTTGCGAATTAAAATGCAGATGCGTTGTCGGCCGTGAGGACTAAGATGGAATGCCTCTTTTCCAGTAAAAAGGATTACGGGTTCTCTACACTCACCATACGAAACACATCAGCATCAAGCTGCTATTTTAGGCCGGTATTCTGTGAGAGCGTGGCCCTTGACCCCTGACCGGGGGCGAGACGACCCATTCGTGCTACAACTATACTATTAATATAGCTGCAGCATGGCTCTAACACGTATACCAACAGTTTGCTCAGGACCGTGCTTTATTGCAGACTTTGTTTAGACAGTCTAATGTTCAGCAGTGGATGAAAAATGTTCTACTGTCATGATAATATTGAAATGATGATAATATGAAGTATATTTTATAATTATCGGGGTAAAGTAGGTAGTACGTACGTAGGCGTACGTACACAACGTGGTAGAGCCACGCTGTAGCTATTTGATGGTCGAAAAACGAATGAATCGACTCGACAGGGCAAAGACCTTGTTCTCACGGAATACCAGCGGGAAATAGCGGCTTAATGCTGTTGTGTTTCATGTAGTGGCTGTTGGGAACCGGAGGCCCTTATTACTGGAAATGAGACATGCCATCTTAGTTCTATATCATTAAAAGTTGGAGCTCATCATGTTCCTTTTTATCATCATGACCATTATAAGAACAAAAATGATCATCTATACACTAGGTGGTACGACTCACTATCTGCTTGGGAGTCTGTCTGGACTCTTGTTCTTCTGTGTTCCGATATGAAGGGTATAGGGAGCCAGTATAATTCAAGGTTGAGACATTCCATCATATTCCTCCGAAGTGGCAACCCATCTGCAGCCTTAGTTCTGTTGGCTGCAGTAGCCACTTACCACTGAGTTGAGACTGGACTGTGGTTTCGTTTGTCACTCCAATTTTATAAAAAAAAAATACTTTTGTTGTCATACCTTGGCACAGATCTTTAAACATAAAATCAACGCTTTCAGTGTATCGGAACAAATCATTGACGACCTGTTGCTGTCGTGCGCGAAAGAGATGGAGCTACAGCAAGTTGTTCAACAGCTTTATAAATGCGAGACGCAATGAATCTAATATATTTTATACATCTATCTATTGTTTAAAAATTTCGCTTATATTTTATTTATTTAAATTGTTGTATATTGTTTCTTAATAAAAGTTTGCTTATTTAACAATTTTTTTATTGTGCTTTCCTCTTTCTCTTCCTCCGCCTCCTTTTTCACTTCTTCATTACTAACCTCTATGAACCCACTGTTGATATAGATCAATTTCATATTTTTAGATCAAATTCAAGTTGTAAAAATAAGTATACATCAAACTTAGAGTATTTTACACAAATATCCTTATATAACTAATATTTTTTATTTCTTTTTTTTTTATAATTGAACATATTAGACGTTAGTAAAGGATGTTTTTTAAAAGCTTGAGAACTTTAAATAATAATACTAGACAGAAATATTGTTGGAATGAATTTTTTATTATTATAATCTGGTAGATAATTTCATGGCTTTTATTTTATAATTATGATTTCGGGCATATGTCCGCCGCGGCTACGAGTTACATATTTAATTGATTAAGCGTGCTGTATGGCAAGCTGCGCCGTCTTGTTGGAGAATGGCTACGACTCGACATTTTGGCGTCTTCTTCAACACTTCGCGCTACTGCAGCAATATTCTCTTCGGTACGCACATTTCTTCTTACTATTGGTCAACTTTCTATTGGAAGTCGTGGTAGCTCAGGGGCTAAATTGCCCGCTGTAAATATCTCAGTACGCGAGCAACCCGGGTTCGAACTTTTCACTACCTATACCTTTTTGGAAATTTTTAGTTACAATTTTAAGTGATGATTTACCACGTGCTTTCCGGTGAAGGACCACATCGTGAGGAAACCGGCATGTTTTACAACGAGGCATTCCATTTTAGTCCTCACGGGTGACAACGCATCTGCATTTTGATTCGTAATCGAAGATAGATGTAGATGTCTATGGGCCACAGCAACCACTTACCATCAGGTGGACTGTGTCCTCGTTTGTCACCCTTATCCTATATAAAAAAAAACAAGGTTGATAACAATTTTCAGCTTATTCAGTTCTTTATTATTCTATCGCATTTTGATTTAAATAAAAGCTCGCATTTCTCGAAATTGGTTTATAATAGTATTGTTAGAAACGAAATTAAATCTTAAGTCTAAAATTCGTTTCGATAAATAAATAACTGTATATTACAAATTCACAATATCAACTCAGACACACTGTCATAATGTCATAAATAAGGCACTTTACTGTACACGACTAGGTTCAAACGTTCGATCAAGGCAGACAAGCCTGCTAAACGATACCTACGTTACTGTTTAAATGTTCATATCTACACAAATTTACACTTCATCGCCCTTATTTAAACTTAATCGAAATGAATTTAACACTTCACTGAATTTCGCTTTCTGGTGATTTAATGTATCGTTTTTCTCCACCTTTGGAATTTTCGGTATACTCTCCATACTAGAAGTATCCGTTTGGTATGATTCTTCAGGTGTAGGAGGGTTTGATTGCATGCCGCGAGGTTTTAAGAGCCTAGGCCCACCAATGGCAAAAATATTCTCCAATTTTGATTTTAAATCTTCTCGACTCAAGCTGTTATCTCCATCTTCTTCTGTATCCGGTTCTGCATTTTTGGTTTCTTCTGTATTTATATGTCGCAGATTTTTCGCTGTTTCCATTGACGCTATTTCTTTTTTCAAATTCAAAAACATTTGCGACCTTTCCTTATTTAAGGGGTATTCTGTACTATCTGACAGGTTTCCCGCCGAATGCGACCTTTTCCGCTGTTCTTCGTCATCATTTGTAGAGGAAATTTTTGTTTGGAATATGTTATTCAACTTGGACATAAAATTCATTTGCTTATCGCTACCAAACACCATATGTCCGTCATCACATGAACTATTAGATTGAACACTTTTTCTTGGTTGTCTGTCTGCATCAGGTTCGATTATAACTGATTTCGACGGCCTCGAAGGTACTGTATATGATTTCTTAAAAGATGAACTTGTAAAAAAGTTTTCATCTAAGGGTGGTGGTACTGGTATTATTGGTATTTGATCTGTATTGTCTTCGACAGATTCATTATAAATAGTTTTATCTAAAGTATCTGAATATCCAGACTCGTCCGTGTGAGAATTCGTTTCGCTGTCGTTAAATGCTGTTATTTCTTCGTGGCCCTCAGCTTGGTTTGATTCATTGTCATCCTCTTTATCTGTTTTTTCTTCTTCTTCTGTGACCTTGGCTAAATCTTCTCTATGCACCTGCGCTATAACATCATATTTAGATAATACTTGAATACCCAAAGATACGTCCGATCCAGCGTCAGACAATTCACTTAACGATTTTCTGTGTAAAACAGTTGGTGTCGTTGTGGCTTCATCCTTTTCCTCATCCTTTTGTTCCTTTAGACTAATAATTTCTCCATAAGAGTCTTCTTCCGCTTGTAGCACTTGGTCCAATAAATCTATAATTTTCGCTTCCTTCTCTTCATTATCTTCCACAAATGCTTGTTGCACAATTACCTCTTCTGTAATGAATTGTATGTTATTTCTGACAGCTCTCTGCTGTATTAGCGTTGTACTAACAACATCACTGTTATTGTTTGATCTTATAGTTTCATCTCCTCCGTTGCTACTACTGATTTTAATAGTATTCGGAGGTGTTGGTGTCTCAACAATAATCTGCACGGGCGGTTTTCCATTACTGTTGACTTGTGGAGATGATTTTATATTTTCCTCTAAGTTTTCACTATCATATATATTATAGCAGCATGTACAAACAAAATATACTGGAATACCTAAAAAATAAAAGTAATTAGCATCTTAATCGTTTTATTTTGTGAAATAATAATTTTTAAAATTGCTGTTATTTTTCGCTTACCGATTAAAATCCAGATTACAACACGAATCCAAGTTTGTACATTAATGAGGATCATAAGATGAATATTGACATAAATACTCAGGCACGGTATGATTGGAACCAGTGGAGTCTGAAACATATCAAATGTTATGTAGGAGAGCTGGAAAGTTTATACATAGTTAAGGGTAGTATTGTAGGTCACATTAACGTTCACATTCTAATAGGTCTGTGAAGTAGGTTTAAGGCCACGTTTTACGACAACCTAAGGGAGAACTTATGTTTAGCAGTGTTAGTATCGTCAGACTGCTACAATGAACTGAATGTGTAAACATTCACTTTTGTTCTGTGCAATCAAAACATTATTTTCTTTAAAGATTTCACCTTGTTTCAATTATCCAGGACAAAGAATGACTTTTATAAAGCGGTTCCAATTGGATCCTCCTTGTAAGTAACAGCAAATAAATGTTGTGAAATTGAATGCTCCACCAGACAGAAGATAAAAGATTTAAAATCTGTCATACGATAAAACGAAATTCCTGTTATCAGTCTATACTCGTATTTGCTTAGGGTATGTCCTGAAATGGACTTGAACGAGCTGGTGGTTTATTCTTATTAAGATAGAAGCACCATTTATATACTCCAAAGCTAAACATAATTTTAGGTAATAATAATAATAAATATAACTTTAATGTCCACCATAAAAAATTAATACTAACAACAGAAATAAATAAAGAAAGTGTATTCAATCTGTTGTACCTTATAGCTAAGAGCGATCTCTTCTAGGCATAACCTTTGTATGGACATTAAAATAGGTAAAGACGGAGGTGAGCATTAAAAATAAATAAATATATTATGAGAGAAAACAATAAACTACATTATATACATTATGGTAATTCAGTGTCAAAATATTTGACCCGAAATTTTAATTTTTGGGCGCCCTTAAGAACATTGCATCTAGCTGGGATTCCCTAGATAGACGCGGTGACCTGATCACCGCGTCCGTAATAAAAAAACGTGTCTAGAAAAAAACATCTACTTAAGTCAATCTCTGTTTTCTAGTTCAACATCTGTTTACAACACAAAATGGACTTGCAATAAAGATCATGATTAAAAAAAATACCTTGAAAGTCAACTCTTCTTTAGCTTGTGGCTGCAGCGTCATAACTATGAGCAGTACGAAACCGCAGGCGTGCAAGCTCACCATTGCTATGACCGACTCTTCCACGAAATTGCCCACTAAAGCAGTGGCCAGACAAACGCACACTGAAACAATGTTTAAAATAATAATATTCTCCATTTCGGAGAACTGAACTCCATTAAGTATCATATACATGGATAAACTCGCTTAGTGTTGGTACAAGTCATCATCATAACAGCCTATCACAGTCCACTGTTGAACAAAGACCTCCCCAAAGATTCCTTCAGAAGCGTAGCAACTGTGGTAAGTCCTCAGTTGTTGCGCTAAACAAACGCTGAATTGGGCCGGCAGATTTAAAATTATTAGTTATCTGTCTTTGTCTATCAACAAGCCTTTCCATAAATATGAACAGGTTAAAAAGAAATTGATGCCCACGACGGGTGCGCGACAGTATGGCGCAGGGTAACGCAACTCTGTATGAAATCCGAGAAACTTGCACACAATCATAATTTTATCTATGTGTGGATTGAGCGTATAAAATTAAAGCGAAAAAAAGATATCGCTGTTTCTTTCTTTCGCGTTGTTTCGGATTGCCATTTTAAAAATTAGATACAGAAATACATATTATATCGGAAGAAACTGAAAATGTTAATTCTGTGATAAACTTTTTTTTTTTGGTTGATCATTAGGTTATAATTACATACATATTACTCTGAGATTTGCACAATTGATTCACCTATTGATTGATTAAAATTGAATTATTGAATATGAGCAGAATTCTATCAAAAGCCATTTTTTATAGGAGAGGGGGCAAACGAGCATGCGGCTCATCTGATGGTGACTACCGTCGCCCATGAACAACTGCAACACAAGGGAAATGTCAGATGCGTTGCCGGCTTTTTAAAAAGGTGTAGGCTCTTTTCTTGAAGGCAAGTCGTATCGGTCCGGAAAAATCGCTTCGATTCCCCAAGGAAGTTGTGCGAGTAAGAAAACTTCTAAATTTTAATTAAGTTACTGACAGAAAAAGACAACCTTCATAAAAAATTCCGTAAGTACAACAACCCTCGCGACTATTTAGAATTCCAAATCACTCGAAGCCGGTGTCATAAGCTTTACGATATTTGTCTCAATAATTA